GAGTTTCATGAAAATTGCAAAACAAGTGGGCATTAAAAACGTTAATGCAGGTGGACGTTGTGAACTATGGTTTATTCTATGAGGTTGTCATTGTGTTTTTACCTGACCAGGTTTGTAGATATCATATTAACCTCCTTTATGATTTTGTATTCTTAATTTGATTTGGGTTTTTTCATTTTAGATAAGTTTATATAATTTTCTCTTTTAACATGCTAATCCTTTTTATAATAATTAATTTTATGGGGTTTTAGTTTCATATTCATCAGTTAATGAATTTTTATGGTCTTTAGAACAATTAAGGGGAAGGATAAAAATCATATTTTTACATTAAAGTGTATACTTTCCTACCGATGTGATGAAAGATTAGTTTGGGAATTATTTAGTTCATAAGTTTATTGCTCTATGCAATAATGTTTATTGCTCTATGCAATAATGACCAGAAAATAATATGGTTGCTTATTTCACTAATCAAGATCCCAACCAACATTATGCTTGTGTATATGAATCCATGTGGGTTTGTATATTTACTTCAATCTTGTTAAAATTTTCAAAATAAGCTAATTTTCTCTATTTATTAAGCCAAAATTTCAAATTGCCTATATGTTTTTCATGATGTGTGTGTGTGTGTTTTATTATCCAAAGTATAAACTATTTTTTTGATGGCAGATATGAGGCGATGTAAACCACCCTGACTCTTTGACTAGAAGAAAAACTCAATATGAACAATTATTCAAGTTTCGAGGTCAATCAAGTTTTGTTTCTTCCCGAACAAGTAGTTAGTTTGATAGTATTGTGATGTGTACTAGCATGGTATTTATATACATATTAAACTTGTCTGAAGACATTTACGTTTTAAATATTGAAAATATTGTGTTAGACAAGTTTGAATTGAAATAATGATATTGTGTTTACCATTTCTTATCTTAATTATTTTATTATTATGATATATTACATATAAATTTTAAAAATTAAAACCCAATTTGTTAGTATATAATTTTTTTTCTTAAAAAAATATCATTAAAAACATGCTTTTTTTAATAGTTAAATAGTGGCATAAAAATAGTGCAACTAAAAGATACAAGTATTATAGTGGCATAATAGAAAAGTGCCACTAAAACCTAAGAATGTTGCAGCGACACAACCAAGAAGTGCCACTAAAGACCTTTAGTGGGAGCATTTTTAGTGACATTTTTTTTGCTGCTGATTACCTACTGGGCCTTTAGTGACACTTTTTTGGTTTTTAGTGACACTTTTTCTGTGCCACTAAATGTCATTTTATTTGTAGTGTACGAAACCATAGCGATGCACCATCTCCAATATGTTTCGTCCTCCATCATTTTGTCTTTGGATCTTACAATGATTTTTAGGGGTGATGAAATGATTCAAGTTTAGGTTTGGGTTTCATAGTAGAAATCGATTCAGGTGTTGGTGAAGGGCCTTGAAACACCGATAAGGGTTTCATATCGACAGTGAGAGGGATAATCGAAAAAGGACAATTGTGGTGGTGCTCTTTCAGATCATCATAGGGCTGCTAGGCAGCTGATGAAGGACATCAGATAGAGATACATTGGCAGTGCTCTTTCATATCTTCACAGGCTTTTGGTGAAAGGCCTTGAAACACCGATAAGGGTTTCAGATCGACAGTGAGAAGGATAATCGGAAAAGGACAATTGTGGCGGTGCTCTTTCAGATCTTCACAGGGCTGCTAGGCAGCTGATGAAGGCCATCAGACTATTGGATTAGGTGTCTAAGACAATAACTACATTGGTATATACTTGAATTATTAACAAAGTCAGTTTGGGTTGCTCTCAAACCTGACAATCGGATAGGATGGCTTTTAGAAAGAGAGACTGATTTATTGATTTATTATATAATTAATAAATAGAAATAAAAGATTTGTTAATATATTATGAGAATAATATATTAATTAGAAATAGTATTATTTAATTAAGAATTAATCAAAATTTAATTAGGATTAATTTTAGGATTAATTAAAAGTACAGGGACCTAAGCTGTAATTGTTCAATAGTTGAACAGAAGGGCTTCTAGAACCTTCATCAAAGGTGGTAGATGGTTTGGAGGGTGATTCTAGGGTTTCTAGAACATCTCTTGAAGATAATATTGATTATTAGGAAACTAGATAATTAACTTTTTTGAAATAACATTATTTTGATTAGGTTAGGGTTATCTATGATTTTTCTATCAGCTATAAATGTGGTCTATTAGCCTCATATTTTAGGCCGCTCTTTTTGCTAAGAGCATAACCAAAATATACCTCCCCTCTCTTATTTCTTCAAGTTTCCTTTGTTGCTGGGGTTTGGGTGTGAACCATCAGAGACACGAGATTTATGGTGCTTGCTTCCAAGATCTATTGAAGAAAGATTGGTTTGATTTGTTAGCTACAACAAATCAAAAGGTATGTAACCCTAATTCTTGTAATTTGTTTATACTAGGGATTTATTAGGATTCAAATTATTGTTCATGGCATGTTACATTCAAAGTGTTAAAGACATAGATCCTTTAGGTTACACGTGACCTTAAATGTTAAGTGAAATTCCGCAATCACATAGTTATTGTAATCTATAAAATCCATCAGATAAAACATATAAAAGTATATAATTTTGAAAATATGGGATATTTTTAGGTTTTTCCAGCCAGAAAAAAAAAATTCAAATAGGGTTTTTTTTTCTGAAAAATGGATAACAAGAAGAGGGTTTTTACTAAAAGATGAATTTTTAAAGGTATTTTTAGTAATATATATGGGTGAGATCCAATAATGATGCACATAATATAGTGAGAAGACTCATCTGAATTTGAAGAGCTAAAAATACACAATCACTCGAGTCCTTGAATGAATCAAGTACATGCACCACCTAAGTCAAATATAGGTCAAAGAGTTATAACCTTTAATGTTTGACTGAAAGTCAAAGTGGTCAAAAAGTCAACATGCAATAGTTAACTGGTCAAAGTCAATGGTCAAGGACTAACTGGTCAACGTCAACAGTTAACATGTCACAACCCATCTACTGGTTATGTCAAGATCACATGGTGAGAAAACATTCATGATTTCCTTCCAACACTCGTTTCATGACCTCTTATTGGTCGTGATGTGCTTTTTAAGGACAGAGATCTTAATCCCGTAAGTGACATAATTATTAATGTTTCCAACTTTATCCAAATCCATGCACTAATCAAACCTAAACTTAAACCCTAACTGATCAATGGTCCAAAATGGCCAAGAATTTGTGAATGTATCAAAGGGAGGCCATGCATGCCCTATTTTCTATTATGCATCCTAAGTCCATAAATTATCTTAATACACTTACAGGGTTATAGAGTTGCTCAAACTCCAAGAACATCCATAAGAAGCAAAAGGGACATAATAACAAGTGGAAGCTTTGTAACCTTCAAGGTCCATAAGTAAAAGAAGATGTTGGATCTTCATTAGAGAATTCACATTTTTGCGCCGAAACTCAATCCTCCTTCTTTAGTGATCACACCAAAGGCATAAGGATCTTTAAACTCACTCAAGAATACTTACAAGGGATAGGCTTTGCTCTTAGGGGGAATAAAGGTTGTAAACTGACAAACCCTAGGAGTTAGTGTCTTTATACAGGGCCCCATGCCTAAGTTAGGGTTTGGACTGATTGTGGTCATGTGTCATGACTAATACATAGTCTTCTTGTGACTTGATGATGTGGAATGCACCGCGATCACAAAGTCATTGCACCAAGGTCCTCCCAAAATCCTTCCAAATATAAATTAAGTGAAAAACAACTTGATAAACAACATATCAAAAACCAGGTGTTACAACTATGTCTCTCATTTGAATCATATTTCTTCCTCGAAATCTGCCTCCACAAATAGCTCTAGGTAATGCTAGTGCATCTTTTCCTCGGTTCCTAAGTCCAGTCAGAACACTTCTGATGTTGGCACTACACCTTCACCAATCCAATTACCTTGTTGTGCAAGGTCTTCATCTTAGGAGAAACCATAAGAGGTGAATGTAACACCCAATATCTTATATCCCATAAGAACATCCAGAAGATAAGGTAAACCACATTTTGGTAGTGACTAGGAACGATAAGAGTCAATCAAATTTGTATACGCTCTCACTCTGAAATATCATGGTACAATAGTACCGTCTATAGAGGTAACTATCCTCCACTTGTATCTTTGAAGTGTCGTGTAAGTTATGTATTGTTCATCTCTTCTATCCAATGCTAAGCAAAATTATACCTGAGATACATGACATTTAAAATATAATACTCGAGACGATAATGTCTTGTGAGTTATATGGGTTTTAGAGACAAAATATAATTTCGAAAAGCATTAGTGTGCTTGCTAACATTCATAAAGCAAGTACATTATTTCGAAAGTAACAACAAAGAACACAAGTGGAATACATGATTCCAAGCACAATAGATTACAAAGAAACTAGATAAATCTGGCTCTTGTCTCGCATGGGGACGTAAATGTACCAAGAAAGGAAGAACATATCAGTCCTCCTCTAGTACTTTGCTCTCAAGGTCGCAACCTTGTTTTGGAGTTTGCTCCAAAGAACCTGTTGTCTATGAGCTTGTTCATGGGTTCTTTCTCGTTTTGGAACGTGCTCCATAAAAGATGTCGACTTCGTGAATGGAGGTATCATCCGATTAGTATCTAACAAGTATCTAGACAATTTCACTGGTCACGTTCATGCAAGTTCACACACAATGATGCACGACCCAAACACACTATTTTCCGCCAACGTTCATTCACAAACAAATACTCTTATGTACAATTTTTTCATGGTATCAACTTTATACCAGGCAGGAACAAAGCTTGGAAAATTTTGTGTCTAGAAATTTTCAAATGAGGGATTTTTTGGGATTTTTTGCATCAATTAATTACTATTCAGGCTTGAAACTTATTGATTGAAATTAGAGTTTGTTCCTTTTATGTAATGTGCCATTGAGACTCATTTTGTACTATTGACGACATTTTCTAGTTAGGTGCAAATACTCTTATTATGATTCATAGAAAATGAAACAGAAAACATACTACACTCATTTATTCAAGGATCAAGAAAACTCATGGTCTGAACCCTTGTGATTGGTAGTCGTATGTAGATGATTTTCAATCAAGTTCAAGTAGGCCATCTTGATCATGACAACAAAGAAAAGCAATGTGTTTCTCCATGAAACGATGACACTCAGGGCACCGCATCCCATCAGGGACTCTACCTGCTGCAACTGGAAACTCAAATCTACAACAATTATTCGCTGCAACATGAAGCTTATCATGGTACTCCGTAAACGACAAATCAAACCCCTTTGGTTCAATATCTTTCTTCCACAAATCAAAGTCAGATGGTGTTTGCATCATAGTGGTTCCATGTCCATTAGTCAGAATCTTTGACCCTCTACACAACAAAGCCCATGATCCATCTTTGTCATAGCTTAGAAGTTTCTTGATCTGTTGCATCATGGGGTCTTGATCATCAGCCTTCTTTAATTGAATCTTGGAGTACAACATGCTTTCTAAACGTGTCCAGAAGAACCACATTAGGGTTGGATCTTGCCAGCTGTAGCTAAGCTTCTCCACATTAATGGTAGCAACAGCCCTACGTACGCTTTCCTTTTTCTTGCTTTTTCCAACATACGCCATCTCTAATGGGATTCGGGCAGCAGTCGCCATTGCCCGAGCTGTGGTTGTGAATTTGCGTATCCACTCGATATCATCACCTCCAAACAAGAATATGTATTTGTCTTCTCTTATCTAAAAAAAAAAAAGCGTTACACATTTACATCCATTCATCACATAAAATTAATAATATTAGAAAAAGATTATTATTTTAAAGATTTAACTCACCCAATTATCTATGGTGGGGTCCATGCTACTAACTAGCAACTCTAGCCTCCAAGTCTCATCCCTCCACAATTGTTCCTCTTTCATGCTGGTGAAAGGGAAGGCATTGCTTCCCCAAATCCACATCATGTGGATTGCATTAGGGCTCAACTCCTTTCCTTGTGGGTCCAACACCACTAGTATTGGCCTTTTCCTAAAGTGCCACCTGTCCCCTATGCACTTGATAACCACCTTGTCTATCATTGAAGGGTGGGATACAGAATACCATGGCATTTTCTCCTTCATCTCCTCGAATTTCCTGTCCATTTCCTTGGTGTAGTTTACAGAGGGGTCTACAATGGGAATCCACACAACTTCATAAAGAGCACTCGTCCTTGATCCGTGAATGCGAGACTCGTTGTAAATTTCTTCAAGAATTGAAAGCTCCTCACGAGACATGTCTAGCCCTGATATCAACAACAACACGTTCCTCCTCCTCAGGACTTCTAGACTAACCTGTGTGAGGAAAAGACGTAAATGTCCTCCTCAAGTAACAAATCGTAAATATAGATAGTGTTGATAGGATACCCTCATCTTTGTATTGCCATCGAAGAGTGGTTGTATATCATCCCTTGGATTAATCAAGATTTTAAGGATTTTCATGTTATCCATATGGCTTGTTTCAAACAGCTGATTGAACGACCTCCTGAATTCAATTTCCTTCTTGTCTCCTGCATCAATCAAATAAGATTTAAGATACCCTTTACTATATACATATAAATAATCGAATCTTTTTTATGTTTACATAAATCTGTAGCATACCAACAACACGAATGCAATTCTCCAACTGTCGCCTGAGAAAGTCATGTATGTGATCGATCTTTGAAGTCAATGACGATAGTTCCCATGATTGCATCTCTGTTGATGAAATCCCATACCTGAAATCCCATAACTTTATACGTCTATATATGTACATTATAAATGTTATTTTGTTAAATGGGGTTAAAGTTTATTTACTCATGGCCCATGCTAGTCAAGTGAGTAATCTGTGTAGCACAAGTGATAATGCCTCTGATGTTCCAGTAGACAGCTGTCGGAATGGTATTGATTGCTGATGACATGGCTGGCATATCAGGAGTTATGTACATAGACGGAAGCTCCTTGAATTGGACAATACATATTGTCAATTCCAGAATTGAATGGATTAGTTTGTTAACAGCTTCAAATCGAGGTATTAATGGAGCCGTATGCTCCATGATTGTTGGAACTTGTTTAAGGATTGCCAAAGATTTTGCTAGTTGATTCGATGAGTAGATTTGAGCCAGAAGCCAGAATTCTCCATGGTTGAGAGCAAAAGCTGCTAGCGTTAGCACCAGTTTTGCATCCCAATGGAAGTTTCCAACAGTGTAGAATAACGCAAGGGCTGTCGTGTGTCCATCTGCAACCGTTAAGCACTTTAACGCCAACTGTAAAAAAAGTTACATTTGGATCATCTTATGATAAAATATGATGTTTTGTAAAACTAAATGATAAGCTCGATGTAATATTGTAAATGACATGCAAAGACATGTAGAAGATTGAGTTTTTCCAAAATAAATAGAAGATACATTTGGGAGCATTAAAAAAAAAAAAAAAAACTCAATAAGCTTGTTGAAACACTAGTTTGAGTTTTTTTTACCTCACTAGCGAGTTTATCGATTATATGAGACGATGAATGGAGCATAACAATGGCATTGTTCTGATTTGGTTTACCATTCAGTTTATCTCCATTTGTATGTGGACCCTACCCCAGATAAAAGAACTACAAATGATTAGAAATGTAATTTTAGATTAATAGATGTGTAAAATAGTAATTAATAATACCGATGAAAGAGGATCAGCATTGATGGTAGCATGTCGAAGGATGTCTTGTATGATATCAAGAAGAGGTCTGACATCAACATCGGTTCCATCAGGGAGATGAGTATCAATAACTTGCTTCATTATCACATTGTCATCAGATGCACTAAAGATCGAGTTTCCATCACTTCTGGTGTGCTGCTGACGCACCGGATTATGTATGGGTCCCACCATCTGCTGAGGTGGATTACTTGCGGGACCCATGAGTTGCTTTTGTTGTTGTTGTTGTTGTTGTGGTTTCTGTTGTTGTTGAATTGGGTTTGTGGAGGGATTAGTGGTGGTTGTTAAGGGCTTTTTTTCGGTGGTTAGTGGTGGAATGCCCTTCATAAAGTTGGAGAATGACTCCATTTTTTATGTTAGGTTTTGGTTTTTTGGTTGTGCTGTTTTTGGTAAGATGGTTGGGTTTATATATATGTATATGTATGTGTGTGTATATACTATTTAGAATGGAATAAAGTGATAGTATAACTTACTGAATCAACTTCCTTGCTTGAGCTAGTAAAACTCTATATTTTTACTTTATACTTTTTACCATTTGAAGACCAAGATTTCCAAGGAACAAGATCCATGTTGTTGAAAAGTTTTATTCTGGTAACAGGATAGTGAGTGAAGTAAAGGAAATCATGTAGGTTGAGAATAAGCTTTTGCTTTGATGTGTTTTATTCTGAATTGTAATGATTCTTTGCTTCTAATCATAATTCATGTCCTGGAGTTGTAATCAGCTACTTGTACATATAGCATAATCCAGGTTTCAATCACCTTTCGCTTTTTAAAATGTCGACAAGTATAGTTTATGCTAAAACAAATATTCAATCCACCAAGAAAAAAAGTTGAGTTTCGCTTATTTCTAGTAGGTATTTCACATAAAAATCACTTTATGTTAAGCTGTTCCATTACACTGTATTTGTTACTATGAAACTAGACTAGACTGTATATCTTTTGGTATGATTGGTATACGATAGGATCGAATGTGAAAATTACAAATATCATAATATTTGGGTATATAATTCCATAGGGTTTAAGGTTTTCATCACTAAAAATCCCAAAATTATAAACCCTAACAACAAATCACTAGCCTATTCGGGGCTCATACTTTGATTCAAACTAGAAAGGTTACCCCCGCTATGCCGGGATCAAAAGCTTTCAATGTTGTTTCCGAATCGATAAATATGTTAGACGTAGAAAGTGCAATGATGAAAAACACGGGCTTTACCCCGTACCGTTTTTTTTTTTCATGTTTTTATAAAAAAATGTAAAAATTTTGACTGCAAGGACCAGAAGTATCAAAATGGCTAAAGAATTAAAGGGGTATGAATTAGCAACTTTTTAGAAAATGGATCAAAGTTGTCAAACCGTTAATGTTTTGTGGCCAAACTTTAAATATTAAAAGGTTTCTAAAAAGCATAAAAATATTGGTTGCAAGGACCAAAAATGTAACATCCCGGAATAGCAAGAGTAGTGTTGAAGGGCTAAAAGTGTAAATCTTAAAGGGCGACTCGGCGAGTCCATGGATGGACTCGGCGAGTAGAGTCGCGACTTTGGTCGCGTGACAAGTGACCTACTCGGCGAGTCCAAAGATGGACTCGACGAGTAGGTGCTGGGCGAAGAAAACCCTAAATCCGGGGAATGAGCCCTATATAAAGATCATTATGTTTCCTCCACAGCCTCCTTGATCCCCCTTGAGTCCCAGAAACCCTAATTTCGTGGAGGAACCCCATTGTTGAGCAAATTGGAGCTTGGAGAGGTGTTGGTTGAAGAAATCTTGAAGGAGAAGAGGCTTGGATCAAAGGGCTTTGCTTGGATTCGAGTTTCATTGCTGTTGGGGCATTCTTTGGAGGTAATACTTTCGTTCTTGGGCTGTATTCTCCTAGATTCTCATTTTGGGGTTGTGTGGGAAGCTTAGTTGTGTGACATCTTGAGTTTGAAGGATGGATCTGAGGTTGCTACCTCAGATCTGGAGTGGAGAAGATCTTAAGAGCATTAAAGCCCCTGTTCTTGTGTTGTTAATGGAGCTATCATGTCCCAAACCTTAGCCCTAATGTGTATTATGCCTAGATCTTCATGGAATCACGTAAAGTTTGCCACTTTACGTGATGGATGGGTTGTAGGAGGTTAGATCTATGTTTTGGATCAATTGCATGGCCTGGAGTGCTTCTGAATTGATTCAGACCGGTGATACTCGGCGAGTCACATGGGTGGACTCGACGAGTTGCTTGAAGATGGCCTGGAACTCGGCGAGTTGGAAGAACAACTCGGCGAGTAGGTTGAAGATAGCCTTAGACTCGGCGAGTCTGTTCTTGGACTCGGCGAGTCTTGTCGAAGAGTCCCAATATTTCTGGTTGAGTCGAGAATCGGTGAGTCAAGGGATGACTCGGTGAGTTGGGTGCGAGTGGACTCAGAGTTGTTGGACTCGACGAGTCTTGGGGTGACTCGGCGAGTTGGGTCGCTGATTGAGGGAAGTTCTGAGCATAGGGACTCGGCGAGTCATCGGGTTGACTCGGCGAGTAGGGTCAGTCAGGGGTTGACTTTGACTTTGTCCAAGGTTGACCAGTTGTCTTCCAGGGGTATTTTGGTAATTAAGGGTATTTATTGAATTGAATGTTTCGGTGTTCAGTGGAGGAGTTCGTGTCAGGGTTGGAGCAGCGGGATCTTATCCTTTCAGCCGACAGTTTCGAGGTGAGTTATCCTCACTATATCAACAGGGTCTAAGGCACCAAGGCCGGCCCTTATCGGATTGAGATCCGGGTAGTTGTTATTATTTTGTTGTTGTGATATGCTTGCATCCTGAGAGTTAGGACGGTATATGTTAGAGACCTGATTGATATCGGTATCCTGAGAGATAGGGAGATGCTATGCTAATGACCTGTTAGGTCGGTATCCTGCTTAGAGTATGTTATGCTATGTGATCTGCTAGATCGGCTTGTTTGAATGTGAACTGTTATATGATTATATGTTTATGTGTACATGGTTGCTTGGACTGGAGATGGGTTGAGGCGGTCCTGCTTTGTGCTGTAGGCCAAGATACTCAGGGCGGACCGGTTGTTCTGAAGGCCCAGCGAGCGGTCCGGATATGCTGTAGGGCCCACGCGGGCGGACCAGACGTGCCGAGGCTTGGAGAGTGGACCAGGCCGACTGAAGGCCCGATGCGGGCGGACCAGTCATACTGTAGACTCAGAGAGTGGACCAGGTGAGTTGAAGGCCCAGTGCGGGCGGACCAACCACACTGTAGACTCGAAGGACATGACTAGACTCGGAGGATACATCCGGTGGACTGAAGGCCGATACGGCGGACCAGTCACACAGTAGACCCGATATGCATGGCTGTTCTATATTTTGTTATGTTATGTATGTTTTATATGTTATGGGGCGGAAGGAAATATGTTTTGGACCGGAAGGTCGTAGCCTGGAAGGGCGTATATGTGGTTGGTGTTTTGGGGGTATCTTACTAAGCTTTCGGGCTTACAGTTGTGGTTTAATGTTTTGCAGGTTCTTCAGGAAACTGTAGCAAGGCGAAGGCGTGATCGTACCGCTCCTCAGGATTTTGTAGCAATGTGATTCTGGGAATACTCTAAATGATTTGTATTGAAAACCTTTTGTAAACAATTTAATGAAATCGGGTTGTTTTTGAAAAATTTAAATTGGTTGTATTTTTCGGTTGTTACAAGTTGGTATCAAAGCCTTGGTTTGAGTGAATTGGAGGAACACTTGTGTGACTCCAGTCTCAAATTGAGGAGGGTTTTCAAAAGAGAATTTAAAATGGTTTTCAAAATAAGTAAAGGAGGACGCGGAGGTACGATCAGCCGGAGCCAGTAAGTAACCCCAAAATACCATACATGACAATTGTTTTATTGAGCTTTGATAGAACAACATGCTAGAGTTAGGCTAGGGATCTTCAGGATTTCTTGATGTGTTGCCTGATTTATGATGCCTGCTAGCCTAGGGTTTCCTTGTGAGAGATTTCTAGTGTTCCTCTAGTTGTGAGGATAGAGCGTTGTTATGTATATTTGTCTCTAGGGTGTTGTGGAAGTACTTCATACAAATATGGGTAGGTGTGGAAGGTAGTATGGGCCCGTACTACTGAAAGCACATGACCCATACGCGTATCGGGGAAACCATGACCTCTAGGGTTGGGTTGGGAGTTGGTTCCCGGGATAGTGGGAAGTGTCTGAGATTTCTGGTGGTTTATTTTCAGTATGGAGACTTCAGGACACGCTGGGAGTGGATCCGGGTCAGGATCAGGAGCAGGAGAGGGAGTTCCGGGTGGGTCTGTACAGCCCGAGGTTGTCAGTCAGATGAGTACGCACGAGTTGGATGTGAGGATTCGTGAGATCCTGCATGATGAGGTTGCTGCATTGTTTCGGGCTGAGCTGTCGGAGTTGTTTGGGTCGATCAAGACCGCCATGGTGGAGTATTTTGATGAGCGCTATGCGGCTCTCACGGAGACGGCTGTCGTGGCGGCTACAGCAGCTGTAGCAGCGACAGGGGGAGGAGCTAGTACAGGTTTTCAGTATCGGGACTTCGATAATACGGGAGCCTCCCACTTTTGATGGAGTTCAGGATCCGATCGTTGCCATGAGATGGTTATCAGATGTGGAGGGATGTTTCTTCACGTGTTCATGCCCTGCTGATCAGAGGGTGTCACACCCCCGAACCAGACGGCGGAAACGTCCGAGGGCTATCGTGACTCATTGAATACCATCACAATGCATATACATGAAACATAACATTATACATCACCAACATTTGGAATGATACAACTGGTAACGTTACATTCATTACATTGTTCAAAACATTACATTCTCAAAAAAATAACTGTTTGATACTACTTAAACCACAGCAAAACGTCATAGAGTACAAATCATCCTTCACCTTATCTGTTACCTGAGAATACAAGTATTTTGAAAACGTCAACATATGAAATGTTGGTGAGTTCATAAGTAGTGTTTGAAATCCAATGTATTGTTTGAAAACCATCAGAAAATCCGATATTTTCTAAAAATAGAATAGTGTAAAAATATGTGATGATCCATGAGTATGCTTGTTTGAATTCTATAGATGTAAGCGTAAGAGTTGTGAAATTCGACCGGTAATTCATAATTGTAATTGTTGAAAACCCTAGGAAAACCCGACGTTTTCCTATCACTTTGCTTTACTTAGTTTGTGTACCGTTGTTTCGTTGCGTTAGAGGAAACCGTTGAGCTCCGGAGGCATTGAGAATACAGTGGGTGGTGAAGTGTTGTGACGTGCGTTAATGAAAACGTCCAATCGACAACCTTACAAGCGATCCCTTAGGCGTCACTCGTAATTCTTCACACCACTCAATCCTCCCGGACTTGTGTAGTCCCACG